TCAGTGTCAAAACATGCATACAAAATGTGTAATGCATTACATCAAAATATTATTCATTCATTGTTTGTTTGTTTTTTTTTTTTGTTTTTTTTTTTTTTTTTTTGTTTGTTTTTTTTTTTTTTTTTTTTTTTTTTTGTTTTGTTTTGTTTTTTGTACCCTCAAAAAAAAAAAAAAAAAAAAAATGCAGTAGCAGGGAGAACAAATCTAGAAAGAAATTAACATGGTAACGGTTAAGTGCACTAATAGATTGGCAATTACTTGTCATTTGACTATTTTGAAATGGTTGTAACCATAAGCTCTTTTCTAATAGTTTCTTTTCTTGTCTTTCTCTCTTCTGCAGAACTCTCTCCAACAATTTTAATGAAATATCTCCACTTTCATTAATTCTGTTCTTTTATTGTCCTTTCTACTCGTTAAAATATCATTCTTTTTCACTCCCAGTAAATTTTTTTTATGTCTCTTCATGAAAGCTGAATGTTTCATATCTTTTTAAACTTTTTTTTTTTTTATCTTGCATTTAATTAGATTTTACTTTTTCCTTCACAAAGAACAATTTCTTGTATTCTTCTGTGAAAAAAAGAGAAATGAGAGAATAAAAAAATAAAAAAAAAAAAAATTAGAATACTACTTCATCCTTATTACAAAATGGTCACTTTTGTTTCTCTTGATGTTTTGAAAATTAAAAATTAAATAAAAGCCATTATGTTGTCAACATGTTAGAAATGTACTGACTTGTTTAGACTAATAAACTGTTGAGATTAAGTCTCCCTTAATGTTCTAATTAAATTGTCTGCTTTATTTGCATTGCAAATATGTGTATCATAGTGTTAATTGGTGTTAAATTTATTCACAAAAGTCACTGCCAATCAAACCATTGACATTATCCTTAATTATGTGTACACAAATAATTCTATACCACTGCATCCATCAAACCATATAATCCTCAAAAAATTATTACATGCATGTACAACCAAAGTCATACTACAAAATGAACGAATTATTTTAATATTTTATGCATTATTTTTATATACACATATTTAAGTAAATGCTCTATTTATAATAAACAGTATTATAACATTTACTGGCTTGAATATCAAATTTCATGGAAAATGTTATCTGACCTGAATCGAACTTGGTCGATTTTACTGAAGCAGTAAAATCGACCATGCTAACCAGATGCTTCCTCTGAAGCTAAATCGTATAGCATGTCAGACTATATGACGGTTGTCGGATATAGTTTCGAATCCTGTCATAGGATGTATATTTTCTATGAAATTTCTTGGACGTTCAGGCTGGTAAATGTTAATACTGTTTATTATAAACAAAGCATGTATAAAAATAAAATATATTAAAATTCCATTTTATGACCATAATGTTTACACCTAAATTAATGGTGTTAGTATGTGAAATCTGCTCAGCCTATGCTTCTCCAATTATTACATGTTCCATGTAGAAAACATTTAAACAGGTCAAAATATGTCTATGTAGACAATATTTTTATTTTAGTGAAAGAAATACTTTCAAAACCACATTTGAAAAAACTTTGTCCTTAACTTTGTCTATGAACTTAGTCAAAAAAATAAACTTCCATTTTTAGATGTTCTTGTAGAATACAGTAACACTTTTACCCTCACATTGTATAAAAACCTTGCTAGCAGAAAATCTTGCCATATTAACTTTCCGAGTTAATGCCCACTAGTGTTGTTTGTGTGTTGTTTTTTTTTTTTTTTTTTTTTTTTTTAGGCAGGAACAAAAAAGGAAAAATTCATTCAGAATTCATTCTCTTGTCCACTTTTTTCCTTAAAGAACAAGATGCATCTTCTTAGAAATATCAAAGGGAATACATTACCCCAATTAACCTGAACCAAAAAAATCATTTTCTGCTACAAAAAATTTAAAAACACTAAGCCTATCCTAATAACACACCAGCATTATTTATGAGTTCAAATGCCCCCTTAAGGAATTTTGTTCCTGATCAAACCGAACTTACCAATAATTACATTAGTCACACTACTCCATGCCTATCCAGATGCCTTATGTTACACCTATCTGATCACAGCTTCATTAGAACCCAGTCACACACGACTCCATCTGAAACATACTAGTAGAAAATACAAGCATAACTTCATCCACTTGTTAAAAAAAAAAAAATGGAAGCCTTAATAACAAAAAAGAAAAGGCTGACACACTACTATAATATTAACTACGAACATGGCCACAATGTGCTGACTGTGTTCAGAAAATAAAACGTCCCTATAACTCTAGAAACATAGACACGCCCTATACAAACAGTTTAAAAAGCAAAAATAAAACCCTGTTTGATAATAGCTAAAAGTATAGCCGAAGGTGCTTGTGATTACAGAAAATTTGGACAGTTTCTACACACTGTATCCAGAAAAGAAAACACTTGTTCGAACACAAGAAAAATTACACACACACACACACACAGATTTTATTGCTTAAATATTATTTTTTCTAGTTACTCATATTTAGGAAGATTCTGTTTTTATTTTATTAAATAGTATAATTATTAACGTTTATTGGCCTGAATATGAGAGAATTTGAACAGGATTTGTCTGTGTTCCCTTAGGAGAAACGGTCATTAGATCTGATGTGCTTTAGCAATGCTCACAAAAAATTAAACATGGGCACCTAATTGTTATAACTTTCTTTGTATTGTATAGATTATAATTTTGGTACACTAATAAAAGAATGACTAATATTTTGATTTAATGCATTATGTTTTGATGTTAACAAAAAACTGAAGTGCAAAATAAAAACGCTAAAAAAAAAAAAACAAATGCATTAAAAAATACATAAATAATTCAATGTAAATTTAACTTTTATTACTCCTTTGGGGAGTTCTGGGGGTGCAATAAGAAGCAAAATCATTAAGTTTTTTTGTCAAAAAAGTGACGTGTTTACATATGAGAAGACACGAGCATTCGTTTGCTTTTTCTTTCACCTGACTTGTATTTATTTTTCTCATTGACTTATAAAGTTATTATTTTGTTTATAAATAAACAAAATAATTCACCTTTTAGAAAGGCTAACAGTTATATTGATGAATGTCAGTAACATCCATAAAATTAGTCAGGCATGGATGATAGTAACCACTAGGGTAGCAATGGGAGAGAATTCTATGGTGACTATTGTCACCTACAGTGTGATAATGCATAAAAAAAAATTTTTTTTTTATGCCACTCAGTTATAAAAATGCTTTTTCATCAACGAACTAAATATTTGAACTTAAATTTCTCTTCACGATATTTCCCTTGCCCCAATGAAAAATGATACGTCGAGGCGGCAGCTTTAAGTGACCAGAATGAATGGATAACTTTCAGTAAATCTTTGTATGTATATAATTTTTTTTTTTTTTTTTTTTTTAATGAAACATACTGAACCACAGCAGTCAAACTACTTGACCAACCAAACCTGCACGCGTGCATATATGCATATGTATAAAAAGCAAAATTGGCCAAATTCTCACCAATGTGTGCTGCGAAATCTAGCTAAACATACCCTTTTATTGTACTTGCCCAAAATCGTTTGGTACTTTTTTTATTTATCTTGCTGAAAAAGTTATGAAAACACAATACACATATAAACAACATTGATAAACTTATAGGTAAATCAATTTCCTTTTGTTTGATGTATGGTTTGACAGGATTTTATGGTCGTATTGTGATTTTGAGTGTCTTTCTGATGGTTTTCCCTGGGGGGGGGTGATATTTTTAGTGATGTTTTACAAGCAGTAAACATTACTACTTTAACCTCTTGGCTATAAAGAACCTAATGATGTTTTTGAATACGCACCTTTCCTGATTCTCAAAATATACATCTCCACTCATTTTTGCATATATATATATATATATATATATATATAGGGAGAGTTATGGTTTCAAAGTTTTAGGGTTTTTCAAGATGGTTAATTTGATAGTTTAATTGTTAACTTTCTTTCTTTTATAAAAAAAAAAAAAAAACTTTACTAAAAGATCATTGACTTTCAAAATAGAATTTTGAAACGCTATCTAGTTTTGTTGGGACATGCCCGGTAGTTTCCTTTCCTTTTTTTTTTTTTTTTTTTTTTTTTATAGCATTCTTTAATTGTTCTTTTCTTTCCTTCCCTATGGGAGGGAAGGGGGGCATTATAGTGTATGTGATTTTGCACCCCCCCTGTACAGAAGGTCATGGTTTTTTAACCTTTTGGTAATGTTTTTTTTTTTTTTTTTTTTTTACTTAACCTTTTCTTTCAGTTGTAGGCATCTCTTTTCTGTTGTATTCATGCAACTGTCAAAAAAAAAAAAATCTGCAACTAACTAGTTTCCATGTTTAATTCATATTTTAATCAAAAGGGAATGATGAATAACTTTTTTTTTTTTTTTTTTTTTTTTTTCTCTTGCTTAATGTTTGGCTATACATGACTGAGATCATTTCAATGTGTTGAAAACTGCCATTTGACAGTATTTTAAATGTCATTACAATGTCACCTTTGGGTAATTGTATCACCTGTTTGTCCTCCCTTTTATACATTGGCTAAGTATTTTAGACGTGTCAAACTTTTGAGAATTGTGTATTTGCTGCTTTTTAGTATAAAACACCAGTCTGAAAAACCTCGAAATATATTCAGGCATTATCATTCTTACATTTTCTGTAACATTGTCTATTCAACTTGGTTAACCTTCATATTTATTAACTGAATATGTCAAAGCTTTTGACATATTTTAATGTTTTTGTTATATATATATATATATATATATATATATATATATGAGACACTAATTTATAATTTCTAGTGTGGAAAGGAAATAAGACTTCACCTGAACATCTACTGCATTTACACACTATATACAGAGGAAATCTAAGGCTACTGACTTTACTGCTACACTATTCTCCTTATTGAATTTCTTTTCTCTCTCTTCTATTTTACCCATTTGCTTGGTATAAGAAATTACTTTTTGAATCTGTCTAAAATTGACTTTTCTTCTTCTCCTGTCCAGTGCACCTTTCACAATTCAAAGACTGTGTGAACTTATCACTGATCCTACCAGACACTACAAAAGAAGTGACAAATTTTTAAGAGGAATTGAGAAGGTAACACGTTCTTTTATTACCGCTTTGTACATTCAGGATTTTGTAAATTAAATCCCCTTCTGCATTTCTTGAAGATGAGGTGATAGTTCCTCTCCCCCTAATCTTTCCTGTGGAATGAAGTTAGATTAATCGGCTATTAGAAAATAAGAGAATTGAAAGAATCAGCACTCATGCTATGCTCTTTTAATCTCCTCAGTAGGACAAACATAGAAATGGAGACCACCTCCTACTTTGCAAAGAACAAGACTCTAGTTTAAGTGTTGTTTAAATTAATCTAATTACCTATTGTTGGAAGTTTAATCCATAGGTCAGATTAAGTTGAAAAAGGAAATGTGGCATCACAAGGAAAAATTGGGATGCAAAATTAGATAGACTATAAAAATCAGAATTAAGTCTAAATAGATTAGTAGAATGTAGTGCTAATTCCTCATTTAAAAAAAAAAAAAAAAAACTCCAACTTATATTTGATTTGTAATTACTCTGGATATTCTAAATTGCAAACTCCCAAAATATTTAAGCATTAATTCTTCATGGAGATGGAACAGGATTAACTATTATTTAACTTGGCTATACCATCAAAAATGATGGTAAATAATTTTGTATTCGCCTATTATATTTCCTGCCTTAGTAATCTGAGGTTTATGTTTGGACATTTACCCACCACCCCCGCCCATACTGCAATGAATGTCAAGTACCTCAAAAAAAAAATATCCATAAATTGCCACCTAAACAACAAATAAAAATTTTTAGAAACTTTTTTGTTATTAATCTTTTCATTGCAGGATTTTGATTTAAAAATAAAACTTTGTACTTTTCAGGATATTGAAAACAATTTTTGCAATTGTGACACGTTTTAGGCTAAGGTCTTAGCAGATGATTTAGTGAATGGATTAGATGATCAGAAATGCAATGCTCTTGCTACATGTGTTTTTTTTTATATGCGAGGTGCTTATTGGAGAGTGCTCAATATCAGTGATAGAGCTAACATATTTAGTTGAATGGATACGAGTTTGTAACCCCGGGTTTCACATTTGTGACCCTCAGACAAACCAGTTTGTCTGAAGATAGCATAAATGATTTACAGAATTTTCTCTTGAAGTTTTAATATCTTCAACTTTTGTGAATCCTGTAAAAACTTGGTATTTTTCTTCAGTTGTAGAATAAATTAATAATGATTTGTATCTTTTCATTTTCAGAACATCATGGTAGTGAGCACAGTAGATCCATTTGGAAGGTAAGCAAAAAAAAAAGATCCTTTTGACAATTTTTCTGGATAATTTTAATGGAAGCTTTACTTGACTGTCAGATTTTATGTGAAAGTTAGTGTTTTACAAAATATCAAAATGGTTTTGGTCAAATTTTCAGAATATACAGCAAGTTTCAGATTATAATATCAATCTTTATTAAAAATATTGAAAAAAAACTGCATCCATATCTACAACTATTCCCACTCAATAGCGCCTAAAATAATTTGCAACATAACCTTTACCACCCACCAAAATAACTGTTAAAATGATAGAATAGACAACCCACAATGCATCACTGACCTGTATATGTAAATAATCAAGCAAAAACTGTTATGGCCTGTCAATTGCTTGAAACACTGTTGCCTCTGGGTGTTGACTTCAATGTCCACTTTGATGAACAGTCTGCCAAGGCAGTTATTAAATCCTTATTGCAGATGCCTGCTTAACCAGTCTGTTGTTTATACTGCAAAGATACTGAGCAGAATGATGTTAGTTTCTGGGAGTGAGCGTATAATGTCATGAACAATTTTTTTTTTTTTTTTTTTTTTAACAAGGCCAGCTCAAACCCTTGGTCACAATAGCTTTTTGACTTTGTTCTAGTATAATTATCAACACCTTCTAAACAATTCTCTGCCCAATTCCACTCACATGGCTTGGTTTAACCTGTTCTTTGGTTTTCAAGCACTTTCCAAAGGTGCCACACATCGAGATTGCCTCTCCAGAACAATATTATCAAGTCAACTCCCTAATGAACCTACTATTATATATATATATATATATATATATATATGCAATATTGCTAAGAAGGCTTTCATTTTGTCAAGAAAGTGACTTGTTTCCTCCACTTTATACTAGCATTTGTGTGCTCTTTCTTTCCTCTGACTCTTATTTGTCTCATTGATGAATGGTTATTTCATCAATTATTATAAATAGACCAAATAATTCACCTTCAGAGAGACCATCAGGTATATCGATGGTCGTCAGTAGCTTCCATAAAATTAGTTGGGCATGTATGATAATAGCCGTGAATGGTCATCATCACTTTCTTCTGCATCACTAGTGTGGTTATCACCTCGGGCTGCTTCACCGTAAACATCCACATGAATAAAGCCTTCAAAATGATCCTTTGTTGGATATTGATGCAGGCATTTTTGTTTACAAAACTTTTTAAAAATTACCATGGGTTTACTTTGTTACATCTCATGTAGTTTAAAAGAATTCAAAATGGCGTCAGAAGTTTAGCCTTGCTCTAAAGCAGTAGTAGGCAATTTCTGAATACCGGAAATAAGTTGACAAGTATTTATTTATAGCAACCGTCTCTGGTGACAGAAGGTGCTGATAATAGTAAGGGAAAGAATTCTATGTTAACTATTGTTGCCTGCAGTGTGGTAACGGTTAATTGGCCCTTCAATAATGTGGAGCCACTGGTTGGTCACCCTCTTAACAATGCCCAAAATATAATAGCCCAAGGGATTCAATAAAACCACCCACTATCTTGAGCATGGCTTCAGTATGAAATGATATCAGATAGAGAAAAAAATTGTAGGTTTTCATAAAAAACAGGATAACGAAACCATCTCTAGACAGCTATGCTGACCAGCATGTCCCTGAAGGGGCCTTTCAATGAACCCTCGGTATTTTTGGATTGTTTGGTGGTGTTCTTAATAGTGACCCCAATAATAATAGTACAGGGATTTCAAATCGAAGCTAATAGGCCACATTTTCGGAGGACCTGAAAAATCTCTGGAATTTGTGATAGTGAGGAGTTGTGCTATACTTTGCACTCCCCTCTCAATGCATTAAGAGGAGATGCATAGTTTCTCAAATACCTGTATTGATGGTGACATTGTCTCTTGGGTTCTTAAGCTCTTTTTCCAAACCAACATTTTTTTTTTTTTTCTTTTCTTCTCAATGTAGGCATTTCATTGATGTTTGTAGCAACTCAAGTGTGGGTCATGCCAACACAATTCTACCAAACCTCGACCTAAACTCTTTGGGCATGTATCCATTTGGGGGTTTGCCTATTCATCTCTACATGAATTTATATTCTCACAAATTTTTTTTTTTTTTTTTTTTTTTTAATTCTTACTTTTTATTTTTTTTGTCACCAGTTACTAATCTGTCCAAAAACGGTGAGACGCGTACATGACTGCAGAGAAGTGCAGATGTCCACACTTGCTTTATGGTTGGCTTCTGTCAAATCAGAGCGGAACCCATTTTCCAAGTTATTGCAGAAGACGAATGGTTGATTAGCTCAAAAAACCAAATTTAAGGCAATGTTTCAACTGTAACAGCACTTCTTACCAAGTTCAAACAAAATGATGTTATTAAATTTGAAAGGACAATGCGTTTTTGGCATCTCTGAAGTGTTTTTTTTTTTTTTTTAACCTTTTCAAATCTTATACTTTAATTATTGTTCTCATCTTGGTTGCTATAGATGTTACTAAAGAAACATTTCAGCCAACTGCTCTCTGTCCATCATCAGTTGTCTATTGTTTAGCTTATATAGGGTATCTTTTGTATGTTAACAATTATTTGTCTCAAAAATAAAATACAAAATCCCCCCCCCCTCTCTAAAGGATCTATTCTGTAAACCCCATGAATGTTTTGGGTTCTTATTGAGTTGCTACACTACACACATCCAGTGTTGTACACAGAGCCTTGCTTGGGGTATTATGGTTTCAAGGTCATTAAGTTTACATGGATCTTCAAGATTGGTGGGGTGGCGGGGGTTCAAACTGGAAGATGCTCCATAGTTTGTAATTTCCCCACATTGGCAGTTTGGATCTTCATTGGTGGCATATCCCCATTTCTGAAAGTTGACTCTACAGTGACCAATATCTGTTTAGGGGTGATTCATGCTGGACCAGAAGGGGCTGGCATCACTGAACCAGTGTGGGGAGGGATTCTGTAAAGCTGAGAAAGAGCCTCTGTTCCATGTGGTTCAACAATGTAGACAACTGTCTCAACTTAAACTTCTTTGTCATTTGCTCGCAGCCGTCGAGTGGATGATGAAGGTTAATTTCCAGCTTCAGTTTCCCAAGTTGGGAGTGGACTGCCCTTCTGGGGTAAGGGAGAGCAATGTCACTAACCAAATAAAGGTCATCTACTTGAGGCACCCAGTGATTGGTCTGCAAGAGCCAGGGTCGATTTTCTTTGCATCTGATCTATTCCACACTGGGTGATTTGGGGGTTTCTTCAGTAACATTATTGCTTTTTCTAAGAAACAAAGCATTGTGTGCTTCAAAGACCTGGTTGCCTTTGCGAGAGTCAAGTTGGTAACTACATTAGGTTACATTTGCCTAAAATTTTGGGACAAAGGATTCTAGGCTGAAGCTGGCCAGTGTTCACTTTCCAATCTTGAATTCAGATCTGAGGCCTTGTAGGTGACGAATTATCTTCTACTCTACAACCTTTTTCCCCCGCAGACTCTCACTGGCAAATATTCGCTTCATTCCACCAGTTCAGACTTCACAGCTGAAACCTGCCATGACATGTCCACTTGAACTGATCATCCCACCAAACTCCCTTCGTATTCCATTAGTAAGAAAGAAGATCCATTTGGACAGCTTCTTTCCAAGAACTACTTCTTTATGGAGTACTCTTGAATGGATATCTCCCCTATCATTATAATCTTAGCCTCTTTAGGGTTAACAGTT